CATCCCTCTTGAAGTGCGGTGCCCAAAACTGGACGCAGTACTCCAACTGCAGCCTGAGCAATGCCGCATAAAGGGGAAGGATCACCTCCCTGGAATGGACCTGCTTGTGATGCATCTGTAGATGCATGACAAGGTGCGGCTAGCCTTACTGACCGCTTCCTCGCATTGGCGGCTCATGCTCAACCTGGAGTCAACAACGACTCCAAGATCCCTTTCTGCCACCATGTTGACAAGAAGGGATTTCTCCAGCCTATAGGTGTGTTGAAGGTTCCTTCTCCCTAGATGCAGCACCCTACACTTGTCTGTGTTGAATTCCATCCTATTCTCATCCGCCCACCTCTGTAACCTGCCTAGATATAGCTGGATTCTGTCCCTCCCCTCCAGCATGCCCACCTTGCCCCACATCTTGGTGTCGTCAGCAAATCTGGACAGCGTGCTTTCCACACCCACATCCCCTGGGTCTGTCCGTAACCCTAGTGGGGAAAATGTTCCGGTCCCTGTTCAGGAATATGGAGGCAAAGAATTTGTTAAAGTGGTCAGCTTTTTGTTAGCTGCAATCACCAGATTGCCAAGCCTGTCCTGTAGGGGCCCCACGTTACCCGGTGCCGCCTTCTTACTCCCTATGTATCTGAAAAATACATAGGGAGTAAGAAGAAAAGCATGAAAATCACAACTGACTTATAAGTAGGGTCAACCCCTAATCAGAACAATATGATATTCCATCTTGAACGTAGGGAAGTATCCTCAAAACTACGTAGTTCTGGGCATTCTCAGGATGACAGAAGGAATGAAATTGTTAGTAATTGTGTCCTGGGAACTTGCAATACGTGTTTGATAACTTCACCTGCAGAGATTGGGTAGCACCTGGGGTACAACTGTATGACTTCTGAACAGTTGCATGTAAATGATCTAACACTAGCATTAAGCCAGGCACCAGAGTGCAAGCAGTGAATGTAGCATGCCTGTAAGTGAGGCACGTCCACCAAAAAGTTGTGGAACTGAAGTCCGCTCCATGATAGGGTAGATTGGGCTCTTTAACCCTGGTTGGTAACCAGTCTAGGAGTGAAGCCCTGATAAATGAGCAAATGGATTATCTCCTTTGGTCTGGCAGCTCCTGCAGCCAAGCTAGTTCCAAACATTCTGGCACCTGCCTTTCCTTTGGATTAAACCAGCAAGACTGAGAGGGGGACATTGGTGTGTGGGCATATACACTGTCTCCATATACAGTGACCCAGGCTTCTGCACCCTGGAGAGGTCACTCCAGCTTCACTTTTTTTTTCAAGCAAGGATTATGTTCAGCAAGCTAATGTCTCACTAGGCATAATTCTAGTGTCTCACGAGACAGACAGATGCCTACTACTTGTGGTGGTAGCCCTGGGGTGTTAGCAGGCGGGAGTCAGAGTCAAGCTTGTGGTGCACTGAGGAACCTCTCTGGGTCCTTCTGCTGTGTACAAACAAGGGAAGCTAGCAGTGTCAGTTTGGACAAGTTCATGTCAATGTAAAATCTCATGCTTTTTGCCTTCTCCTCTAGCTGCTTTTATCACAGCATTGGTTGGCAGCAGCAGAGGAGAATGTCCACAAAATGAGTTTACTGTGGCAGGTTCTGAAGTATTGGTGGGGGAGTGAAGGCAGAAGTACCCATCACCTGTACACAGGGCCCCCAAGCAGCCTGGGAGGAAAACAATGTTAGCACATTCTTAATGTTGATGCTTGGGATTGCAAAGAGCAACATCTCTCTGGCACTGGGCACAAGGGCAATCCTGAGCAAAGTGACTCCAAAGGAGTAGTGCAGGATTTAAGCTACTCAGTTCTGCATTCAGCACTGTTCTCCTCTCTACTCTGCCACAAATGCATAGTATCCACATTCCATTCCATTCCCTTTTCCCTACTATTGGGTTCTCCACCTATTCCCTATGGCCCCTTCATGCAGAAGAAAAAGGACTAGGTGGCTGGCAGCCAAGGCAGGCCTGCTATGTATGGGAATGCTACAACCACACCTATGTAAGTCTGCTTCAGAGAAAGCAATACTGTTGTTTAGAAGAGACTGGTATCTCAACCTGTAAAGTTTTCCTCCTCTTCTCCTCTGGAAGGGGACTGACGTCTTTCCTTATGAAGCTTCTAAACAATGTGGGGAACTGGGTGATCTGTAATCTCACCAATGAGGATTCTGTAAAGCTTTTTTCCTGCAAAGCTGTACAGATCCTGGATGACAATACCAGGTGTGGTGACATGACTGCAGCCTGGAGAAGTTCTCTCTGGTAGCAAAGCCTTGATTTCAGTGTACAGAGGAAGGTTTGTTAGGAAGTGGAAACCATTTGCCATTTGGCAGCTGTGAAGCAGCCAGAGCTCTAATGCCAAGAGGCTAGGAAGAACTTTCTCAGTGCATATATGTGAAAAACAATTCAGAGTGTGGGCATGAAAGGTGCTAGGTGAGGAGGTGGTGGGGGCTGGTTTCTAACTCAACATTTGATTCAGAGACGGTCCCTTTCCTGACAGACAGATGCTGAATCTCCCTGCAAATGATAGTTAGACACAACATAAGTTTAGTCCTCAGGGACAAAGACTCTAAACTCCATCCATGAACTTATTTAAAACCCTATATCCTAGTGGCTCATGCCAATGAAGTGCAGTCTAGTACATTGAATTCAGAACTCCAGAGTTAAAAATCTGCCTCAGCTAAGGATTCCCTCTGTGGTTTTGATTTGCCTCAATGTTCCCATCTGTAAGAGTGGAAAGAATACCCCTTTACCTCACTGGGGATGCATGTGGCATGAACAGTTCATGTCCATCCTGTGCTTTCATCCTGTGGTGGGATGAAATGTCTGTTCTAGAGCTTCTTCCATAAGAATGAGAATGGGAGCTAGAACAGCAGTGGTTATGGGGAAGTGTCGCAACTATATAGTCAGCAGCCTTCTTTTAAGAAATGTGCAAAAGCTGCCTTCCACAGGCAGTTTCTACTTCTCCCTTATACTCAGGTTAATTAAAGAGTCTTCTATTTGACATAGTATTTAAGGGTGGATCATCTTGATGACTGAATCAACCTCAGGGGGGCTTCTACTCCATTCAGTGAGTTACTGACCCTCACATTGTTCCTGCAGGGCCCTGGGAGTTTCCCATGAAGTCTATTAGACATCCCCCTAGGAAAGTGCTGAAAGAAAGAACATGCTTGCATAGCACTAGGAGCTTTTCAAAGACAGGCTCATTGGGATGGGGAATGGCCCAGTTCACCAGTTTGGGAAGAGTGAGGAGAGGGAGTCTGTTCTTTCTAGATCTGAATAATCTGTTGGTGTTTTGCAATATATCTGCTGAAGCTGGGGTTATAGAAACACAACAAACTCTTTGTGAGCCCTCTGGGATCATACAAGCCTAGCTATGCAGAAAGATCCCATAATAGATAATTTTGGCTATACCTCACCCTTCAGAGCCTTGGAAATAGGGTTAGGATTATTCTGAAGATGTGACCAGTCAGCCAGTTACAGTGGTGCTTAATGGAAACACCCCAGCAAACCTCAAAGAAGTTGGCAGTGGCCTGCAGACACGCTGAAGGTCATGTGCTAACATGCCTTGTTTTCAACTGCTATGCTGTAAAAAGAGACAACTACGACTATTCAATACGTTCCCCTGTATTAGCTCTTGAAAACAAATGTGGAAACCAAACAAATTCTTAGGCAGTCAAATCTGGTAGGGAAGAGGTGTCCAGCCCACCGTGAATGAGGGGAAAGTGGCCATGAAGTCTCATAAGAGTCAGACTGTGAAAAAGTTGGACAACCCAAGGCTAGAGCATGGACACAGGACTGCCTCTTCTTATCTGAATCTTAGATGTTTCCATTCTGTTCTAGGAGGGGAAACACTGGCACCTGCTGGAAGACCTAATCATACACATCCAGAACAATGTATGCCTCTAGATATGGGAAAAGTGAAGTTTTAGCTTAAGCAAAACAGAGCCAGGTGGATGGAGACTGGCTGTACCTCTAGTGTAAATGCCATGAAGGGGCCACTGGCTGGTGTTCTAAAAGGCTCTTAGCATAAAACTGCATAGCCATTCCCAGAGGAAACATGGCTGCTGCACCCACTACAGGGAGAGGAAAGAAAAACGAAGACAAACAGAACCTGTCCAGGAAGCAGGCAAGAAAGTTGCTGATAGGATCAAACCTCACACTGGCCCTACTCCTCTAGGCAGATGGCAAACCCAAGACTGCAAGCCTAACACCAGGTTATTGCATGTGTGCCAAGAGAAGGTGCCTGCCTGTTAAGCCTCTCTGCTCAGGGATGCACCCTTCGGGAGTGTTCAGCACAACTTCCCCTGGAAGAAAGCAACAACAGCAGCAGCTGCAATTGAGCTCTAACATTCCCAAAAGCCACAAGAGCAGCTTCAGAGGGGCGTGATCAAATTGGGTGTCTTAAATTTCTCAAGCAAATCCCGGGACGTCATTCTCCCCTTGTACTTGGCCTTGGTGAGGCCGCAGCTGGAGTACTGCATCCAGTTTTGGGCTCCACAATTCAAAAAGGATGTGGAGAAGCTTGAGAGTCCAGAGAAGAGCCACGCGCATGATCAGAGGTCAGGAAAACAGACCTTACGACGACAGGCTGAGAGCCATGGGGCTCTTTAGCCTGGAAAAGCACAGGCTCAGGGGTGATCTGGTGGCCACCTATAAGTTTATCAGGGGTGACCACCAGGATCTGGGGGAATGTTTGTTCACCAGAGCACCCCAAGGGATGACGAGGTGGAACGGTCATAAACTACTACAAGACCGTTTCAGGCTGGACATAAGGAAGAATTTCTTTACTGTCCAAGCCCCCAAGGTCTGGAACAGCCTGCCATCGGAGGTGGTTCAAGCACCTACATTGAACACCTTCAAGAGCAAATTGGATGCTTATCTTGCTGGGATCCTATGACCCCAGCTGACTTCCTGCCCTTTGGGTGGGGGTCTGGACTCGATGATCTTCCGAGGTCCTTTCCAGCCCTAATGTCTATGAAATCTATGAAATGATCCCACTGATTCCAAGTCTTTACAAATTAAACTTTAAATTAGCAAACATAACTTATACAAACTGGGAATTTTCACAGACATTCATGTATAAAGGAGAGTGACTGGCAGCAGGTGCCACCCAGGAGGAAAGAATTTCACCATTAAAAAAAACCCAATGCTCGACCTTGTTTAGAATCACAGACTCAGCATTCCTTAGAGGAGCCTGCAAGAGAGACGTATTTGCCCACTTGGCCCACTCCTTTCATGGGGAAGGCTGGCATCTAGGTTTGTTGAGAAGCGAGGTTCTCCATGTAGCGGCCTAATCCAAAGCACCATCTCATTCTTGTGGTAGGAGCCCACTAGCTGTCCTGCATCTAATACCAAATATCACATCCTTCAGCAAGAAGCCCCCATCAGTTTGGGACAACAGCCTTTGGTGGCAGGCAGCTTTTGAGCAGGATCAAGTACTGGGACTTACTGCCTGGTAGGAAGACAGAGGTCACTCTGGAGTGGAAATGGTAACAGGGTGATGCAGCAGAACACCTCTCCAAACCGTTGCCAGCTAAAGTGGAGAATGTAAAGGCCCATCCTCTGTGCCGGGGGAGAGCGGAGCTGTTGCTTTCCTGGGAGAGAGCTCAGTGGCTCCTTGATCTTTGTATAATGTTTGTCATCAGCAGTTTCAGAAAGCTTGGGATGCACATCCCTTGGTGTTCCTTTAAGCCAGACCTGTTTTGGTTGCTATGACAGACGCTCATTGTGTACCTTGAAGTGTTCCAGTCACCACAGGGATTTTAACATGCTGAAGACAACTTAATACCATTGTTGTTCAGGGTTCTTTCAGCTCATAGTGTGTGGTTTTATGCCCACTGTATGTAAACTATGGGAACAGCAACCAAAGCCGTAAGAGCCTAGGCTCCCTGGGTTTTCAGCTGGTGATTGAAATAAGTCCACCTATTTTCTTTTCTCCCATCTCAGTTTAATTTCTTCCTTTTAAACAAAAACCAACTGAAGAAAAAACACATTAGAAGATGGAAGTAGTAGGTCTTAGTCAGTCAGTGTGCACACCTGAGCCAAAAAACTGGATCATGTCATCCCAGCTCCAACAAGCAGAGCCCAAGCACATGTATCAACTCCAGCTACTTCTCATGCTTCAGATTGGGTTGTCTGACTTATTGTTGTCCGTGTCACTTGAGGAAAGAGTTAATGCACCTATGCTTAACCGTTGTGTTAAATGCTTTGTGTTAATAAAATAAATGTCTTTTTTGTGCATTGTCTGCAAAGATTTTCATGCTGATGAAGCCACCAAGATCTTAAAAAAAGTCCCAACAGACTTGCTCTGCTTCTGCAATGACACTGTCAGACATAGGACACATCAGTGCTGAGGCGTGGGAAAAGAACCTGATGCAGCATGTGCCCAGAGCTAGCCTATACGTTGGACTTGGGGGCTGAATTCAAGGGGATCTCTTTGAGTTCTGTTCTCATACATAGGTACTCCCCGATCACAGCCATGAGTGCTGTGCACACAATATGCACTAGCCACCAGGTCAGAGTTGTGGGGAAGTGTGAATTGTAAATCCAGCAGCCCAGAAGGTGGAAAAAGTGAACTGTGACTGTGAAATCCAGACACTGCTTTCCTCGCCGGATGAAATACAGCAAGCCCAAAGCACTGCAGAAGGAAAGGAAACAGATGTCAGTAAAGGAAAACTGTCTTCTAACATAGGAACTGAGGAGGATGGGGATCCAGCAACAGCTCCCTGGAAGTATCTGCACTGACTGTTTATTTACTGGGAAGGGTTCCTGCCTGTTCTGAGGTCAGGGCTATTCTGACTTACATTTTGCAGCAGTGGCATTGTGCAAGTAGTTCACAGCATTTTAATTATGTGCTGAAAATCTCCACAAGCTCTCTCAAGTGCCAGTTTAATCTGCAGCTGAAATGGGGAAACCAAGGAAGCAAAGTTAAATAACTCGTCCAAAGTTCAGGAAGAGTCTGTTTTAGTTCCAAGTCAGGAGTTACTGGTTCCCTGGCCTGTGCTTTGGCCTTCTAATGCATAGGTCACTTCATCAGTTACTGGTGGGAAGGAATCCTTAATTTCCTCCAACAAAGACAAGACCTGCTAGTCCTACACTGACATGGCTTCCAGTGACTTTAATATGCAGACCTTTGCCTAAAACAGCACGTGGATCAGAAAGCCACTGAGGTTACTAAGCCCTTCTGGAATCATGTTAGGTAAGATCCCTTCCTCTGTGGGCTAGTTCCATCCTAGAGCTGATACCAATTCCATGAACTTTGCCAAAGGGCAGGGCCTAGATCCCTGGAAACCTCTGAGAGCAGGAGGCAGGTGGTTTAGTGGGAAACCTGTACTGGGGAAAGAGGATGAATCTGCCAGGGAGATGTGGAATTTCTCACAGGAGGTGCCTGAAACAGAAGTGAGGGCAGACAGTGGTAGGGAGACAGTGATTGCTCCGGGTGTTGGGAGGGAGGGCACTTTGACTGGGAAGAGGATTTTAGTAGCCTCAGCTGGAGGGAACATCAGATCCATTTGGGGACACAATGTGTGTGTCACAATGTAGCTTCCTCCTCCTTAACAGCCTATTGTGTGTCACTCTCACTTGTTGCATCATATATACCAGTAACCTGGAAGCTCTTCAGAGCCAGAAACCAGTGGCTCCAATGTTATAAAACCGTGTCCCTGCAGTGCAGTCAGAGTTGACTCAAGCAGGGTGTGGGGCCCGGGGCAAATCAGCCCGTGCAAGGCTCTGCGTCTCCCCCCCCCCCGATCCTGTGCATCCTGGAAAAAGCATCTGAAAAAGCTGCCACAGCTATTGGCAGCAGCAGCGGGGTGGGGGCAGCAAGCTGCTGGATGCAGCTGCTCCGCCTGGCTCCGCAGGGCCCTCCAAAGCACGGGACCTGGGGCAGTTGCCCTGATTCACCCCCCACAGGGACAGCCCTGAGTCCAGTACAATGGCTAAGAGCAAATTATAAATGTGGGCTCTGTTTGTGACAGCCTTAACTGACAGTCAAAGCCCCAGGCTAATGCTGCAGATGCACAGCAGAGGCACTAGCACCGTGTCCTTCCAGGTGGCAAAAAGCTTCCCAGCAACTCTGCAACATTCACTGAAGACGATGTCATATTCCAGGTACCATGAGAGTCACACTCTTGTGGACCCAGAGGGACAGCCTTCCATCTTCAGCTCCCTCTGTGCAAAAATGAAGTTTATTTCCTACCTATGGGGACTTTTTACCATCTTGTACCATCTACACTTTTTCCAGAGCCTGACGAAGAGACTTTGTTCCCGAAAGCTTGCAGAAAAGGACAATTTTCTTGCTGTTTTCCAGTTGGTCTAATAAAAAGTATCATTTTGGAACCAAGAGTTCTAGTTTTTTGTAGGTAGCATAAAAGTCATCCTCAGGGGCTGAACCCAGCATGCAGTCCCATTGCCGTGCAGCGTGGACCCCACCTGCTCTAGGCCAGCACCTGGGTGTTCACCACTGTTTGCCATCCCCCCCCAGACATGATCAAGCCTGATGCAGGCAGGATGGCACAGTACAGCCAGCCCCTGCTAAAGCAACCATGGTCCTGCAATGATGCTTATGTCCTGAGCTCAGAGCGGCTTTCCAGCCTATGGCCTACAGCAGGAGTGGGCAGTTATTCTGGCTGGAGGGCCACTTAATCAGTTTTGGTGTCTTCTCAAGGGCCACATGAATTTTGGTGTCCTCTGGAGGGCCACATCTCTCTCCCCACTCCCTCCTTCAGAGGTATAGCACAGCCCAATTTTTTTTTCTCTCTCTCCCTGTACCCTTCTCCTGCCCACTTGTAGTATGTCCCAATCCCCATGCCCTCTCTCTTTCTCTTCTCTTCCCCTGAGCTTCAGCATATCCCCACTGTCTCCCTGATAGCATGCCCTGATCCTCACTCTCTCCAGAGCTGTAGCAGGCCTGATCCTTTCCCACCCTGGAACTGCAGCTGGCCACCTGCAGATTGGGTCCCAGGAGCTGGTGGCCACCCACCTGCCTGCAGGCTGGTTACAATAAGTCAGTGGGCTGGAGCCAGCCTGCAGGCTGTATTTTGCCCACCCCTAGCCTACAGGCCCCTACAGTTACTGAAGGCCTCTGTGTCACCAGCCTAGGTGGTGCCTTTCCTGCACGCTGCGGGTGCAAAACAACCGACCGTCACTGGACACATCCCCCTGCTGCGCCGCGGCTGGTACCGAGGCCACCATGGGTCCTTCCAACCCGGGACACTGCCCATCGGCGCTGCGGGGTCTCGGGTCCCACTCTGGGCAACGGTGTGCGTGTGCTGTGCGCAACGTGTGGACAGGGGCCGGCACGCACGTGGGGCGTGTCTGTGTGTCGAGGCGTGGTGCCGGGGGCATGTTTCCATGCGTGTGGCACGTGTGTGCGGCGCGGTGGCACTTACCAGGTGAGCGCGTTGAGCACGAAGGCCATGACTGCGAGGCGGCCGGGCGTGGCGGAGAAGCCCAGGACCTGCGGGCGACACGGAGGAGGCTGGGACCGGCCCGGGCAGCGCCCCTCTCCCCTCCCCCCCGGACGGCCCGGGCCCGGGCCCCCCGCCGCTCACCTCGTAGCTGAAGACTTGGTCGAGCGAGGGGCCGCTGCGCACCAGCGCGTCGACGAGCGCCAGCCAGAGGCCGAGCGCGCCGTAGTAGACGGCCTGCATGAGCGCCATCTGCGCCACGATGAGCGCCGGGTCCCACACGTAACTGCGGAACTGCGCCGCCATCCCGCCGCGCTGACAGCGCCGACCAGCGAGGCGCGCCCGCAGCCCAGAGCGGCGCCGTAGGCTGCGAGGGTAGGCGCCTAGAGCGTCGTCACCGCCACCGGAAGTGCCACGGAGGCGGCGCTTCGGCCTAGAGTGGCTTCCCCGCACCGGCGCGGCGCTCTTTCCTCAGCGCCTTCCTGGCTCTGGGAGGCGGTGTGCGCCCTCCTCCCCCCGCCCTCTGAGCTTTGACCCGCCCCGTGCGGTTCTGTAGGGGCTGCGGCCTCTGAGTCCCGGCGCCCACGTGGGTTGAGGCCTGTCCGCACAAGGCAGCCGGGGCTGCTGGCAGCTCGGTGTGTGTTGGGGGCCCGGGCACACGGGGCGGCTGAGAGGAGGCCGCGCTGGATCCCCCCCCCCCCCAATGCTCTGGTCAGTCCCACGCTCCAGCTGTTGGCCGTCGCTGGGCACCGGGGACTGGGCGCGCTCCGAGCAGAACCAAGAGCTCAGCCGCGAGTCGGACGGGAGGGGAGAGGGATCAGGAGAGAAAAGGGGACGAGCACTGCAGGAGGAGAGGGGCCTCAGCAGGGCCCTGCCTGGAAGTGGGGCAAGCTTTGGGAGCGATCCCTGGGAGGTCGGGCTCCACGGGTGAGGTGCCATGGAGAAAGGCTGGGTTTTCCTTGGGAGGCCCCAGGACATGACTTGTTCCAGATGGGGAATTCCGGCCTGGTGAGAGGAAACTGGTCCGGGGTTTTCATGCCAGGGTGGTTTTGATCCAGTCTCTTCCTGCAGGGGATGATTTTGTTTGTTTGTTTGTTTGTTTGTGTGTTAAGCTGCCAAAATGCTGTTGGTGCTGTGCAGTTAAAAAAACAAACAAACTAGTACAATTATTTGGCTTGTCACTACTTCTCCATTTCCTCTAAACCAAGAGCAGGTCATTAGCTAACACCCAGCAGTCCTGGCTGCTTTGTGCCACAATTCACCCTTTTATCTGGGGGCTTTGGGAGTTTGTGGAAGTGGGTTTTTTCTTGGCATGTCACAACTTCTGCTCTTTTAGTCTCACCGTGTAGCTACCCAGGAGCCCTTCATTCTCTTGCTTTATTCTCTTCCTGATCGGCTGGAGTTCAGCTGTAAGCCAATTCCCTTCAGAAACTGCAGAATCACTGAGTAGAGGACAATGTTAAAGCCTAATAAGGTTTCCCACCAGTTTGATTTATGGTGTCAAGTCACGCTAATCAGAGCGAGAGATGTTTACAACTGCATGGGGGTGAGTTAGGTTGTCTGTAGGAAAGATCGCCTGGACTGTGTAAAGTGAGGGAAGAAGAGGGCCCTGGGTCTTTGTGGGATATAGAAGGGCAAGAGAGGTTCGTACAGTGTGTGGGAGGGTGAGCCCCAGCTCTGAGGTCAGAAGCCAATGGAGAAGGGAATATTTCTGGCAAACTAAATTATGACTTAATTCTTCCTAATGGAATCTCCTGTGACGCCTGGTTTTTCCATTTGCCCTGGTTGGCAGTTTCTCACGTTGTTCTTCCGTTCCTTCCTTATTCAGGGTGACGTCACTAGTGGTTGTGCAAGCTCAGCCTTTGGCTAGTTTCCTTCATATGGAGCGTGCTGCTTTCCTCTTCTCCTAGAAAGGATTGCAGCAGGAGGAGGAAGCTGTTTGCAGATGCCTTCATAAACTGCAGACTGGTGCACTCCAGATAGCTGAGAGCTGATGTCATTTCTAGAGTTTGCTAAATACAGAAATGCGGGGGTGGGGAACACATTGGTCCCAGGAAAGACCTACAGTTTAGGTCAACTCCCTGCGCATCACTGAGAGTCAGCTGTGACCAAAGGGCTTCCTCTTTTCACACTTTAGAGGTTAGTTTCCATTTCTCAGCTCTGCTGAATTCACTTATTTGACAATTTACAAAGCATCTAGTAGACCTAAACTTTCACTTCTTGCTTTCAGTCTTAGTCTCTGACCAACATTTCCTTTGCTGATCCTATGCTAGTTGTCTACCCAGCACAAAATGAAGTGCCTGATTATTTTGGTGAGGGACGCATTAGAATGCCTGTGACATAACCGTCCACTTCACCTGTCCTCTTTAGGATTCCAGCCTGAGCCCTTAGCAGTTTGATCTCTAACTCATCTTATGATCACACTGACTATTTGACACTGTAGGTTACAGAGTGTGTGTCACTAGCTAGAACTGAGAGCCAACTCCTGGCACTGTTGCTGGTCCATAATTGAGAGGATAGATTACAGTAATAATCGGCAGTCACCTCAGAGGCAGAAGAATTCCAGACTCTCTCACTCCCAACCTGTGTTCAGAGAACAGAACTGTACAGGGATATGGAAAGGATGTGGCGCTCAAATAATTAAAAGCAAGGTTCCTGGAATCAGCTGCCCAGTACAGCCATTCACGGGGGCTGAATTTATTTCCTGGCTCAGGTACAGAAGGGTGTTGTGCATTCAAATGTCTTTACCTATATTTGTTAATCTAGCCCTTCCTTTTCCTTGAGGCTGTCTCCACCTCAGTGGCTGCTTCCTCTTCCTGCCCTTGGTAACTCAGTTGTCACTACCATCTCAGCAAGGGCACCTGGACTGTTCCCTTCACATACCTCAGGAGAAAATGTCCAGGATTTGTTGGGAAAACATCTGGTATTTACACACCTAACTTCCCTCAGTATTTTAGGGGAGGATCAAGAGGACAAGTCCCCCTAAAAGGGATTAATGTGATACTCAAAAGCAGGGACTTGAGGAGAAATCACTAATACAGGGCGTGTCTATATGAATGTGCTGTGGATTGTTCTACTGCGCATTAGTGTGACATGGTAAAAACTGTTAATGAGCTAAGGTGCAGTAGAATTAGCCTACTGCACATTAAGCATCACAAAAAACCCATCACCTTTGTTACTGGGCATTAGTGCAGCTACTGCGCCTTTATCTAGTACCTCATATTAGAGGTACTAAACTTAAAGTGCAAAGGTGCATTAATGAACGTGTAGATGCACCCATATTATACCAAGCTAAAGATGGAGTCAGCTTTTTGGGAAGCTGGACTGAGGCAATGAGAAAAGGATTCCTAGAGCCACAAATACTGCCAGTCTGTAAGCAGACAGTTATTTTCACTCTTTGGATTGGAAACCTATTTTCTTTTTAATTAAAACTTTATGTGTGTAACCAGCAGTTCTGTGGTTACACCTGTGTGTCATGAAAAGCAGCAGATGGTGAGAAGGGATGGCAGGGTGCCCAGGACATATCAGATGCCCTGCAAACGTGCCGCAGGGGAAATTACTCAGGGTCCCCTGTGATTCTCGTAGCCATTTCTCTGTCATGAGACTAGGAATTTCCTATTTAGCAGGGGATTCTTTCCATAAGAAATACCTCCCTGGAATAGTATGTTTCTCTAGTAATGGATCATTATTGAGAGCCATGAGATATCAATCTGCAAATGATACCTATTTTTTATCAACAACAAAAGGCCAGAGTGGCTGAACTCATCTCTGCTGGGATTTATTTGTTCCTGGCCAAGCAGGTAGGACTTGCTCTAAGATGGTCTTGGCTGGGAGACAGTAGGAGTCTGAGATCAGTAATTTTGCTGTCAGGCAGACACATAGGTGGCATAAGCCGGGGCTAATGGGGCTTAGCCCCCCAAATGCAGGGCAGTGGTGGCAGCAAAGAGGGTCACAGGGCAGCCTGTGCATGGGCTCCGGGTAGCTGCAGCAGGGGATGTGCAGACACAGACATACAGCTGCACCCTGTGCACAGCCAGGATAGCAGCCCAGCCCAGCAACATGTGGAGCACGGCCCACCAGAGCAGGCAAGTCTCTGATGGGGAAGAGGTGTGTGTGGGGGTGCAGATTGAGGCCCCCACAGTGAGGGAGGGTGTGGGGAGGGGCAGGAGTAAAGGAGGCCCCAGGGCAGGTTGTGGGATGATCAGAGTCTGGGCAGCAAATCCAGGGGCATGGAGGGGGTTCCAGCTACTGTCCGCATCCTGGAGGAGGCATGGGGGTACATGCCCCCTGATTTGTGTCCGGGGTGGAGGCTGGCTGCCGCTGGCAGCAGCAGGCACATGGTATCACATGGCTCCCAAAGCAGTGGCAACAGGGCGCAGAGTCCCAGTCTGCAGCGGCAGCCTGCCTCCGCCCCGCGCACAAATCTGGGGGTGAGTTACATGCAGTGACAAGAGCCCCTCTGCACCCCTGGACAAGCTGCCTGGGGTCTGACCGTCCCACGACCCACCCCAGGGCCCCATTCACCCCTGCCTCTGCCTCATTCCCTCCATCGTGGGGGCCTCAATCTGCCCCCCCATTTCCCTTCCCTCTCCCCCCGCCCCTTCCCCTCCACAGACTTACTTGCGGGGCAGGGTGAGTGTGTGTGTATTCAGCCCCATAGGCGGAAGGAGAAAAAATTATTGGGGGGGCTGAGCACGCATGCACGTGCACCCCCTCCAACAAGTAAGTCTGTGGGGGAAGGGACCGGGGGAGGGAAAAGGGCTGTTGGGGAGCTGCGGGGGTGGGAGTGGGACTGGGGCAGGCCTTGCACAGCTGGGGCAGGGCGTGGGACAAAGCTGTGCCGGTTTGTCCGGTGGGCACCCGGTGCAGCGAGAGAGTGGCAGCTCCTGCCGCTGCATGCACTCTGGGAGGGCATGGGGGGCATTTGCCCAGGATCTGCATGGGGCAGGGCGGGCTGCCACTGCAGGCTGGGGCCAGGGCTGGGCCAGGCTGTGCTTGGGGTGGGTGGCAGCAGCTCTGGGAGGGGGGGTTGGCAGGCTAAGATGAATTTTGGGGTGGCTTCAGGCCCCCCATAGTACCCCACTCAGTGCTGCTGCCACTTACTCTGAGCGCAGCATGGCCCAACCCCCTCCCTCCCGCTGGGAAGAGTCCAGCACTGCCTCAGCCACAGCCCCCAGAGGCACCCTGCCCCACGCAGATCCAGGGCCACATGCTTCCTGTGCCTCCCAGGACGTGCACAGCGGCAGGAGCCTCGCCCCTGCAGATAAGCCACTTATAGCTTAGTCCTGCGCCCTGCCCTGGCTGTGCAGGGCCTGCCCCAGCCCATCCCTCTCTCACCACTGCCTGCGCCTCTCCCTTCTGCTGAAGCCACTGGAAGCCTGTGGCTGGGCTGCCTTGCGGCTCTACCACTGCCCTGCATCTGGGGGGGCTAAGCCCCATTAGCCCCCCATCTCCTTCCGCTGCTTGTTCTCAGTCCTCCCAAATAATATTTTCTCCCTTCGCCTATGGGCAGGCATCAAAGTGTGTGGAGAGATTTTCAGAAGAGCACAGCCAGGTGAGTGCTGAGCCCTTTGGAAAATCCAACTACAGTTCTGGGTACTTGAAAATCCAGGCTTGATCTTTCTTTAAAACCTGGCCCTAGGAACTGTGCTGAGCATGTCTTGGCTGGAAGTCGTCATTTCTTGGCCAACCCAGTAGTAATTATGATGAGCTGGAGTTGGCTGGAAATTAGTCTTTGCAGGCCTTATCCATGGCCTGCTGAAGAAAACCAAGAGACCGTTTCATTGGTGACCCAAAAGGATTGGTTTTAGAACTAAAATTTGACCTTTTTCTATTCCTATATGTTTTTGCCTTAGATTCACAATTGTAAGAGCATTCATTGTTTCAGGCTTTAGACTTGAGTTGTTTAATTTTCATTAATGAGCTGTGTCTTACTTAGTGACTGAGTCAGGCTGACTTGTATTCCTTTGCAAAGTGGATGTTTATCTGGATAAGGAGAGGTATATCTGCATCATAATTCACCGTTCGGCCCACCTCACAGCCTTGAGACGTGAGTTTTCATCATGCTCAGTGGTAATGGGATTTCAGCTGAGTAACTTTCAATTTTGTTTTCTCTGGGTCCATTTGTCCTGTCACTCTGGGTAAGTGTCATGCACCTAAGATTTCTCCTGGATTGTTCCAGAGCGAGTAAAATGTAAACATTTTGAAAGGGGACATTTGAAGGGTAAAATGAACCAGCCTTTTTTGTGTTACAAATTCAGAGTACAGTGTTATGGTTTTCAGGGCTGCATTTCCAGCCATGCGGTTTCTTTTAGGAATAGTAGGCAGAAAAACTACCACCTATTTTTTTT